TCGTCACGCAATCTTCCGTGCGGAAGGAAGATTGCGTGACGACCCGAAAAAAGTCTGCGCAGGAACCTAAGAAGATAGCCACTCTCCTGAATGGAGCGTCCATCTCAAGCCCAGGGCTGGTCCTCCCCGAAAAATCGGGTGGAAGTCTTTGGGCGTTTGAGACCCTTTTGCGCATGTGCCGTCTTATCCTACCGAACAGTTTTCAAAGTTGATATTTGTGAGAAAAATCCTTCTCCATTGACCTTGTGAGGCGTGTGAAAATAGTAATACCGATATTGAAGATCAGTTTCGTCATTTACGAAAGATTTAAACGGCATATTTTGTGCTTTGAGCTGAATACCATCAAGAAATACAAGGTCCTAGAGAGGGGGCTTTGTTTTGTTTTGTTTTTGTTTTTGTTTCTTTTTGTTTTGTTTTCTTTTGTTTTGTTTTGTTTTGTTTTGTTTTGTTTTGTTTTTTGAAATAGTTTATTTCATTGATACAAACATAATACGTGCAAGTTGGAAGAGAGTGTATGAGCTTGTATTCAGCTGACACGACCTTCACGCAACATAGACATGATAAATATTCTTTACCAAGAAAAGGTCAAAAGCTGGCGTATAAGGAGATTTAAGGAGATTTTCGAAAGGCAAGTGAAAGTTCAAGCTGACCGGGCCATGGCAAATTCGTGGCGGCGCGCGTGATAGTATTACCATTTTTATATTGGTTCAAAGACTAGAATGAAAAAAAAACATAACTTAGTGAGACCAAAATATAACAGCCAAAATGGATACACTATTTCTGACCAAAACGGAGCTTAAAATGCCATACTCTTTGAAGCCGCACATACCCATATAAACCGTAAAAGGGAGTACCGGCCCACCGGAATATCAAGTAGTTTCCACATCTTCTCCCCTCCCCCTCCCATACTCAGCATCATAGCAGCAAAAACGCAATAATGACAACAAAAAAGATTTCATACATGACGTTTTTATTACTTGATTACACTTGATTTATTTCTTGATTCCAAGTGATTCACCACGTCAGCTCAATATATTAACCATGAACAATAAAATTAAAATTAGTAATGGTAAAAGGACTTCGTGTCGTCTAATTCGGTCTGTAATCATACTCGTGACAAGAAAATCGAACGACCGCGTAGCGGGAGTCCGATTTGTTTATCACGAGTATGATTACAGACTGAATTGGACGACACGAAATCTTATTACCAATTGATCATAAAAATTACAATTTCGAATAGCCAAGTTATGAAAGAATGGGACAAAGGAGGCGTAAATTGTTGACATAAATATTTGTGCTATAGGATGAACAAAATCACTACAGTCTTCTAAAATACTGTCATTGTTCAAACAGAACAAAATTCTCCATTTTGAAGAAGCCCCAATTTAGGAGTCTGTACACTGGTTCTATGGTGATTGAAACATCTGATTTAAACTACAACTTTGAATGTGATTGGTTGATTTCAACTGCAATTTTGAATGTGATTGGGTTATTGAACTGTCTGATGACAAACTGTCGGATAACAACTTGGCAAGTGAATTAGTGGAAAATATGAGTTTTTTTAAGCCAATCACAATCGAGGAAATTGTAATTTTTATGATTAAATCTGTTATAACATTTGTACATCTGAAGATCTAGGGTGAAATTGCTGACTGACTGGAAAACAGATTTTAATACTTTTACGGTCTTAAATAATAATTTTATCAAGTGTTAAATCAAGTATTAAATAATACCAAGTATTAAATATAATCACAAGGTCATAATTACATGTATGGTACTATTCAACTCTTATAGAGTGATTTTATCTAAGGGACGGACCATTAGAAAAGTGATGGGGGCCGGTGGGACTTTTTCAGCTTGCAGGAATTTTTTTTTCATGTCCACTGCCTCTGCCTCTTGTCTGGAACAGCTTTCAAACAAATATTTTTTATCTTTCACACATTCGTTTTCCTTTCCTGTCAAAATTATACTCCGGGGGAAACATAACCATGTATCAGACACATTAAGTGCTATTGCCTAACTGATGGGGTTGCATTGCACTTTTTTGTTTGATGTTTAGGGAAATGTCAATTTTGTTTATTCACTCCCCTTGAACCCTGGGCAGTGAGTCAAGGTTTTAGCTAAGATTCTGTAAGTGGCCGTCCAGTAACAAATAACAAATATGGGGCCGAAGGGCCTACTCCGCAAGGGTGGTCTAGGGGCATGCTTCGAAATTGAAGCTTTCTTGGTGCGTTTTCCATGATTCTCAGCCGATAAATTTAATGTAACGATTGGAC